TCTCCCTCTTACCCCTATTCTTTCCTTTCCCCCCCACAATTACCAATGTAATCAGTTTCCTGGGTAAATGCCCCAAAATATTTCATAAATATATAAGCCAATACAAATATACATATATATTTTTTCTTTCCCCAACCTTTTCACACAAATGATAGCATATTATGACCATTTGCTGAACCATGCTCTTTTAACTTAGTAAGTCTTAGCGTTCTTCCTACAATCAATACATAAGGAGCTTTCCCTTCTTTCCTACAGTTGTGTAGTATGTCAATGTATCATACATTTACTTAACCAGATACATATATAAAATTTTATTATTTTGCTCTCATAAACAGTCATTTTACATGTGTGCTTGTACACCTGTACGACTGATTTCCTTGAAGTGCAATTACCACATCAAAGAGTATGTGTATTTGTAACTTTAACAGATATTGCTAACTGCCCTCTATAGAAATTGTACCTCTACATACTTGCCAAAATGTCCCAAATAAAAACATAATGATAACACTGAAGTCTGGCAAAGGTGCACAGAAACTGGATCACTTATACATTGCTCATAGTAATGAAAAATGGTACAACCACTCTAGAAAATGTTTTGGCAGTTTTTTTTTTTAAAAAACTAAACATGTAACTAACTATAGGCAGAGCATCCCTTATCTGAAATGCTTGGGACCAGAGTATTTTAGATTGTGGATCTTTTCAGATTTTGGAATATTTGCATTACACTTACCCGTTCAGCATCCCTAATCTGAAAATCTCAAATCCAAAATGCTGCAATGAGCATTTCCTTTGTGTGTCATGGAACTTAAAAACTTTTGGATTTTGGAGCATTTCAAATTTCAGATTAGGAATATTCAACCTATACCATACAATCCAGCAACTGCACTTTCAGGCATTTATCTCAGAGAAATAAATACTTATGTTCACACAAAAACCTGTATACAAATGTTTATAGTGACTTTATGTATAATACTCCCAAACTAGAAATAACCTAGGTATAATTTTGCAGGTAAATGGTTAAACAAACTGTGGTACATCCATACCACAAAATATTACTCAGTAATAAAAAGGAATGAACTATTGATACACACAACGTGAATTACTTTCCAGAGAATTACATTGAGTAAAACACACCAATCTCAAAATTTTATGTACTACATGAATCTATTTATATAACCTTTTTGAAATGACAAAATTATACTAATAGAGAACAGACTGGTGTTTGCCACGAGTTAAGGGGTAACTTAAGTGGTAGGGAAGTATAATGGTTGTGGCTATAAAAAGGCAGCAGGAGGAATCTTCGTAGTAATGGCAATGTTCTGTGTTTTAACTGTGTCAATGTCATTTTTCTCACTGTGATACTGTGCTAGTTTTGCAAGATTATGATTGGGGGAAACTGGGTAAAGAATACATGTTATCCGTATTCTTCTTTTCCTTCTTTCCTCCCTTCCTTTCCTTCATCCCCCCCTCCCCTCTCTTCCTCTCTCTCTTTCTTTCAGAGATGGTAGTCTTGCTATGTTTGCCCAGGCTATAGTGCAGTGGTTATTCACAGGTGTGATCATAATACACTGTAGCCTTGAGCTCCTGGGCTCAAGTGATCCTCCAGCCTCAGTCTCCCAAGCAGCTGGGATTACAGGTGTGTGCCACTGTGCCCAGCTCTGTATTATTTCTTACAACTGCATGTGAATCTACAAAGACCTCAAAATAAAAAGTTTAATTTTAATTTAAAAAAAGTAATGAAAATTAGGTGCCATTCATGATAGCTATTTAAAAAACTATAAAATATCTAGAAATAAACCAGGAAGGCCCAAGATCACTATTAAAAAAAAAACAAACCCTTTAATCTAATTATTGTACCTGATGAAAATATTCCATGTTCTCATTTATATTTGGGAGCTAAAATATTTGATCACATGGAGGTAGAGAATGGAAAGATAACAGAGACTGGAAAGGGTGAGTAGGGGGGTGGGAGAGGATGAATAAAAGTGGGTTAAAAGGTACCAGCATACAATTACACGGAAGGGATAAATTCAAGGTTCGATAGCCCAGTACGGTGACTACAGATAAATAAAAATGTACTGTACTCAGGTGATGGACTTGATCACTACATATTGTACACATGTAACAAATTTTCACATGTACCCCATACATTTGTACAAATTAAAAAAATAAGAAACACCTTTGGAGGCAACATTGAAAATAACTAACTAAATAAATAGATGGAGAGACAGCCCATGCTGTCTATTCACACCAAATTAATCTATAAATTAAATGCAATCACAATTAAAATTCCAGTTGTATTTTTTTCAAGAAACTTGAGAAATATGCTCCAAGACAGACAGGAAAGAATAAAAGTCCTTAGAAATCTAAGTCATCCTTAAAAAAA